ACCTGCTCCCCCCACTGACCAAACTGTGCAGCTCTGCAACTGCATCCTGGCCCATCCTCACCCTTCTGCCCCCAACCCTCACCTCCTTGTAACCCCAATGTTTTTCCCATTAAAAAAAAAATGTAAAAAAAAAACAAAACAAAACCAAAACAGACTCAATAAAAAAGATGCAGATAGGTAGAGTGAAAGGGTCCAGTCCAAGGACCAGATCTGGCAAACTAAAACAGAGGAAGAGATGACTTGCAGGAAAGAGAGAAGTGGGCTGCCTCAAGGTTCAAGCAGACAGAGTATAAAACCTTTGGCAGATGAATAACTTCTCTCCATATAAGCCCCAAAGGAGGCATGGTGTCCAGTGAACCCTGCGTGTGTTAATCGCCCTTTATTGCTCTATGCTGACATTGACCTGAAGAATCCAGGACTCCAGGCTCCTGCCAGGTCCCCTGGTCCTGGCGACCATCCTGGGAAGCTGATTATGCTGTGAAGCATCCATGTTCTGTAGATTGAACACCAGACACAAAGCCTTTCTCTCTCCAAAGTCAAGGAGATGAGACAGTACTGGGTTTCCCTGATCAACTGAGGAGAGCCAGTCTGCATGAAGATACAACATGCTTGTGAGCACTCGGGAATGTTGTTCCCACTCAGTTCGACAAGTTTCTGGATGATCCCAAGAGCTGGATGAGCTCCTCTCCGCCAAGGGCACAGAGGTCGTGAGGTCACTCCCATCATGTACATCTCCCTCCTAGCTGAAAAGCACTTTCTGTATTCGTTCCTGCACTTCCTTTGGTCCCAAGGATACCATCATCTCAGCCACAGGGGGTCCCTGCTGAGAACAAAAAGAGAAAGCATTGCCCCACTGCCTTCAAACACCCAGGGAAGACACACAGCGCCTTGGTCTACAGAGGTTATGCCCCAGCCTCATTCCACAACTGCTGCCTCCATTTCAAGGAGCAGAGTGTATATTTCAGAGTCTTTAATGAAGGTGGGTTCTAGGAGTCTGTCCTATATTAAGTAAACCTTTTATGTGTCTGCCACCTCCAATAAATGGCAAACTCCAGGAAGGCAGAGACTTTGTTTCACTCACTGTTGTACACACTGTACCAAATAAATACTCAATACCTACCCTCTGCTGAATTCATCTTTGCATCCCCAAATTGAGTTTATTACTGCCTCCCAGTGACTGCTAGGTGAATGGATGAACGAAGTATTCCAGAGAATCACCAACCCATAGGCATCTTACCAGCTGTCCACTGAGGGCCGTTCGAAGGACTTTCATCACATCACTGTATTTGGTGCCTTGCAGGCCTTCTGACAGCTTCTTCAGTTCCCCGTTCAGAACATCCTGGGTCAAGCTCACACCAGGTGTTTCGAAAAGCCTAGAAGAGAAACAGCCTGTAAGGGGCCCACGTGGGCCAATGGCAAGAGCGTGAGAGAGTACTCTTCAGATTATGGTACAGTGATAGCATAAGGGCACAACCAGCGCTCTCAGGGCTGTTGTTGAGGGCAGGGGTGAGAAGATGCCTAGTGCCCCTCACCCCAACCAAAAAGGATCTTCCTTTCAGAGAAGAAGAAACACGGGATCACGCACACAGATAATGCAAGTTGTTACATGCCGTCAAGTTGCCTGTGACTCATAGTGACCCTATGTACAACAGCCCTAAACCCTGCTCTATCCTGTGACAATCTTATTGTCTCTGTCACACCTACCCCCATCACCCCAGTCACTGCAATCCATCTCACTGAGGGTCTTCCTCTCCTGCGCTGTCCCTCCACCCTCCCAAGCATGACGTCCTTCTCCAAGTCTGGCTTCACTCTCTCTAGGATGAACCTGTTTGTTCTCCTAGCAGTCCATGATATATTCAACACTCTTCTCCAGCAACACAGCTCAAAGGCATCAATTTTCTTTCTATCGTCCCTAGTCATTGTCCAGCTTTCTGATGCACAGCAAGTAAGAGGGCATAATATGGGGAATTAAGAACATACTGTAATGAGAGGTGACTGCCACCCTTAATACATAATCTTCATGTCTCAGTTTTCTCATCTGTAAAGTAAGGATAATACTAATATTTTTCGGGCCTCTCGTCCATATTTCCTTTCAAGGAGGGAGGGCAATCCCTCTGGAGATTTCACTTTCTAATGAATCTATCTTTATTATTTTACCCTAATATAGTATTTTCCGTTTACAAGGTTAAGGCAACAAGTTAAAAAACTTAAAAACTGCTAAGTGCAATCAATACCTGAACATATGGCAAATAGAAAATTTTCTGTTTGAGTGTAAAGTTTAGAGGAAATGGTGAAGAAGAAGTGTATTAGCTAACAGATACTATACTCAGAAGTTCTGGGATAGTCCAAGGAGTGGGATGTCTCAAAAGAAATGAAGGAATGAGTTAGACACTAGATGGAGGAACAAAGCTGAGAATTATCTGAAGCACAAGATGGCAGGCATCAGGCCCATTTCCTCGGAATGTAGCACAGGAAAAGAGAAATTCTTTCTTTTAGAGATCCTAACTCTAGTAACAGCACTAATACCAACTGATAGGCAATTCTGGGAAACTTATTACTATTCTTTGGCCACAAAATGAAGCATCCAAGGATCTAAAAATCCAATGTCTAGCAACATCCCAGCATTCCTGGTAGTCTGCCCAGAACCATGTGCAAGGTTCCAAGAGAAATTCCTCATTCCATTAGGGCTGGGCAGCCCTAATTCTGAAGGAGAGGAAGAGATGGGAATGGGGTGAAGGTAAGTACATTTTCACAGGATATTCCCACTTCCCTAAGCTATTATCAGAAGCTCCAAATTAGACACTGGGAAAGAACACTGGAGACTTTGACAGGTGTGTTTTATCCATGGTGCCAATTCTGACACCTCTGCTCATGCCAGGTCAAGGGCGTACCTCACCAACACTGAATCAATGCGGAGAGCTACTAGCTCGGGGAAGGGGGCTACTGACTGACTTGGGAAAACAGACGTCCAGTACAGATTTCAATTACCTGAGTAATTAGGGTTTAGTCTAAGACCAATATTAATTGTCTATCATGTATCATTAATTGGGCCCCATGATTACTGCTACTACACTAAGGAGATAAAAGACTAAAAATAAAACAAGTATTGTGGGGGAAACAGATATGTGTCTGTGTCCAGTGTTGCTGTGAAGACACAGGCTGTCAAGGAGCTGCTGACAGGTCCCAGGGAGGCAGCCTGGAAACACAAAAGCCAGCCCAGAGTTTGAGGTGGGAACTAAAGGGATTTTGAGAGATCTGGCAGCTTCTGAGAATGTGGGTGTCAGAAAAGGTGTGGGGTTACCCTAGAGTGTGTCTGAAACAAATTTCATGGCGCAGGAAGTGGGAGTTAAGGCACTGGATGCTGGCAAGTTAGAACTGTCGCTGTTATGTGCAGGGAGTCAGCTCCAGCTAGCAGTGACCTCACACGTAACAGAACAAAGCCCCGCCGGATCCTGTGCTATCCTCACAATCGCTGCCAGGCTCACGCCCACTGTCAATCCATCTGACAGGTGGTCTTCCTCACCTTCATGGACTCTGTTTTTTCCAGGACTGGACCCTCCTGATAACAGGCCCAGAGCATGTGAAGGCTCAACATCCTTGCTTCAAAGAAACACTCTGGCTGCAAGTCTTCAAAGAGAAAGAAAACTGAATGTTCTAAAGTTCTAAGCTATTATTACTACTAATGATAACCCCTGGGAACTTTTCTTTCATACATACTTGCGAACATTCTTTTTTTTAAAAAAAAATTTTGTGTGTGTGTGTGTGTGTGTGTGTGGTGTGTGTGTGTGTGTACCGTCAAATCAGATCTGACTGGTACAGGAGGAGATTGCCTCTCCTTCTCCAGCAGAGCATCTGGTGGATTCGAACCACGTTACCTCTGCGATTGCAGTGCAGCTTCTTGCCACTAGGCCACCAGAGCTCCCCCTTGCGGACATTCTTAAGGTTACTCATTGCAGCACTGTCTGGAACAGCAAAATTTAGTGATCCTCTACATTCTATTAATAGTGTTGTCATAGTTTTGTACCATCGTGTCAGAATGGACCCATAGCTGACCCTTGAACCAATTTTCAAAGGCAGTTACTCGCAAAGGACGAAACTGCTCATCCTTCTTCTATGGAACAGCTAGTGGGTCGATTCAAACCAGGCACCTTCGGGATTGCAGTGCAGCTTCTTACCACTTGGTCACCAGAGCGCACAAAGATTGATAGCATAGGAATTAAATAAACCATGAAGACAAAGTACAATGGGAGAGGTGTAGCTGTGTAACGTGATACTAGACAGATCTAAGAAATGCTACTATGGCAAAAACAGTAAGAAGATGCAGAAGAGTGTTACTGTTTTTTACCTTTTGTACAAAAGAGTGCATAAAAGAAGGAAAACAAGAAAAGCAATTTAAATGTAATTTAAGAATTATAGCATCCACAGAGATTATGGGTCTGGGAAGAAGGGGTACAAAGAAATGAAAAAATAAAAAAAAAAAAAGAGACTTTCCACAGTTCTTTTTTTTTGTTTAAAAAAAGTGGTTTTACAATTTAAAATTACAAGCCTAAAAGACATTATGCTGAGTAAAAAATCTCAGTCACAAAAATAAAAACACTACAAAAAAATAATAAATAAAAAAAGAAATACTGTCATAAAAGAGGACTGATATGGGAGGTTGGGGGAAATAGGAAAAGAATGGACAGTTCACGAACACTGCATTGGAGCAGTTGAGGGGAGGAACTGTCTGAAAGGAATATATGACTAGGCATTGTAAGTATGGCAACCACCTGGAGCAAGAGGTGCACTGCAAAGTGGATTACGAAAGGGGGAGGAAGACGTGCAACGATCAATGAATGAAAACCCAACTTTTCCGTAAACTTTCATTAAAATCACAATAAAAATAGAAAAAATTAAGTTGCGATAATAAATAATGATTTCCAAATTCAATGTAATTATATATAAATTATATTAAGGAGCTCTGATGACGCAGTAGTTAGAGACTGTTAACTGAAAGTCTAGCGGTGCAAACCTCCCAGCTGCTCCACAGCAGAAACATGTGGCAGTTGCTCCTATGAACACTTTTAGCCTCTGAAACCCAAAGGGAAGCATTCCTCTGTTCTACAGGGTCTCAAGGAGTCAGAACTAACTCAATTGCTATGGGTGGTTTGGGTTTTGTTTATTTTCACATATGTTATTATTGTTGCATACCATCGAGTCAGAAACGACCCACAGCAAACCCTCCTGTGGGTTTTCCGAGGCAGTTAATCGCACATGAGGAGATTGCCCATCCTTCTCCTGCTGAGCCGTTGGTGGATTCAAACCACATGCCTCAGGGTGGCAGTGCAGCTTCTTGCCACTAGGCCACAAGAGCTTCATTTTCATATACATGTTGTGTGTGTGTGTGTGTGTGTGTGTGTGTGTGTGTGTGTGTACCCACAGATTAATTTTTCTTATTTAAAAAAAGACAGAGAGACTACATTTTTCTTATGTAAAAAAAGACAGAGAGACTACATTTCTTTTACTGCTTGCCAAAGGAAACCCACTGTCAAAGTACAGAAGAGAAGACAGGGCACATCCTTTGGCATTGAGATATGGCGGGGGCAAAGGGCAAGAAGACTATGCCTGAAGAGGAGCGGGAGGAGAGAAAAACATCAAATAATCTGAGAGGGAGGGTTAGCAACAAAGGCAACAGCTACCATAGCAACTGCCTCATCAATGGGGAGGAGGACCTTTCCACTCAAGTGTCCAAAGGAAGGGACATAAGACCTACTCTTCCTTCCCCTGGTCCTACTTCAGCTCCTGCACTGCTCACTCTGGACTACTTTCACTTTTTTCTAGATAAAAGTACTGCAAGGCTCAGAAGAGTCACTTAATGTGGGTTCAAAGGCAGCACTTGCAGCCGCAGCTGTGTGCTAGACTCCACCACTTCAAGCACCATTCACACACTGGCAGCACCCCTCTGGGAGAAAAGGTTCCTGGGATCAAGACACATCCTGGGCCAGTTCAATCAGATGAAAATAAAAATCCCAAATCTTGCTTAACTGGTCAGCTTCAGAGTTCCCACAAAAGAGAGGGTTATGACTAAACATTCCTGCCAAGATACTGTCAACACTACCACGTGCACAAGCATTGTATATGACAATTGTAGATGCACTTCAGTCAAAAGTTTGGTACAAGGGTGTAACTATGACAGTTAGAAGTGCCATCTGGTAGCTGTAGATTCTTGCCAGACCAAACGACTTTGGCTAAACTGCCCCACTACTGTCACCAGAATGTTCTCTGGTTTCAGGTCTTGGTGAATGATGTAATAGGCATGGAGGAATCAGGGGCCCTTAGAAACTGGTGCATCAGATGACTGATAGTATCCACTGGCAGGCCTGGAGGAGGTGCTGTCTCTAGATATGTCCTTAGATCTTGTTCCGCCTGTTCAAACACCAGAGTCATACTGGTTCCCAGTCAGTTTGGGCTAAGGCACAGACATCCAGCAGCTGAATAGCAATGGGATGATCAAAAGCCTTCAGCCATCTGTGCTGACAGGAAGGCTTGCTCTGTTGGGAACTCTTGGGCTTACGAGGGCTATCAAGTGGGTCCCTGCTGGGATCAGGGACCTTGTACACCGGTTCATAGGCACCAATCCCAATACCTACCATTGTTCATTCTCAAGTCAGGAAAGATCTTCAACCCTGGACCAGGAGTTGTGGGGAGGTCTGTTATCAGGACCCTGGAGCTGAGTTCTGAGGTACCCTACATCTGAGCAGCTGGACATGATGGTCAAACCACAGGCATAAGTCACAAGCTAGAGCGGTGGCTTCACCCCAACTCTCATCACATGATCAGCTGCCAGAAAAGCACAAGGAAACTGGGTGGGCTCTCTGCCAATCCATGGATTCTTCTTACCTCTTCCCAATAAACATTATAGCAATATACTGATTTCTACTTATCATGCCAGGAGTTCTGGTGCTGCAGCCCACAGTGTGTTGTGTTGCTAACCAAAAGGCTTGCATGTCTAGTGGTTCGAATCCATCAATGGCTTTAAGGAAGAAAGATGGGCAATTTGCTCCTGTCAAGACTCACAACCTCAGAAACCCTATGAAGGGTCCTGTGAGCTGGAACCAAATTGATGGCAGTGAGTTTGAGGTACTACCCAACACTTTATACAGAGGGAGAGGCATAGAGAACAGTGGTTACACCAATGTTGTCTAAACATTCTGTCTGTCAGGGTTTAAATCCCTCCTGCTTTAACTTAGAAGCTGTATTATTTTGTACAAGATGCTTAATCCAAGTTGAGAAATTAGGAAATGGTATTGGGAAAATTTGTTGTCAAGGACCACTCTGGAACAACAATGCTAGTCTAAAGACTAAGGTGAGCCTGATCTAGGCCATGGTCTTCTCAACTGCTTGCTATACATCTGAAAGCAAAGGAGAAGACCACGGATAATGACTATGAAAGACAGAAGAACTGATGCCTTTGAGTTTTGGTGCTAGAGAAGAGCATGGAACATACCGTGGACTGCCAAGAGAACAAACAGGCATGCCCTGCGGAGGGTGAAACCAGGGTGCTCCTTTGAGGCAAAGACGGCAACACTCCATCTCTTGTACTTTGGGCATGGTACCAAGAGGAGCCAGTCCTTGGAGGACGATGAAGGGCAGGAGAAGGTCAGCACAGGCAAGGAAGATTCTTGATGAGATGGACTGACACAGGCAATGGGATCAGGCACATCGGAAATGGTGAGGCTCAGAGCTGCTGTTCACAAGGTTGTAACGGGTTGTAGGTGACTCAATGGTATTTAACAATAATACCTCTGTGGCCATACATCAAGCAGTGGCTTAACTGAGCCCTTCACCTATCCCCCGTGATTTTATAAACAATCACTTCTCTTTCTGCATAAGCCAACTCTGGCTATGATTTCTGTCATTGCACACCATACTGAACAAGTTCCAAGGACTTCTCTTATAGAAAGAAATATTTTCTCTATCTTACAAGGGGGGAAAGGAAGCTCCAAATGAGCTACTTGGCCAAGTTGAAACCACTTGGTGAGGAAGTGGTAGAGTGGGGATGGAACTCAGCTGTCCAACTCCAGAGCCAAGGAACCACCGCCCACAGAGAGCCTGGACTCCTAGCTGTAAATTCCCTTCTCCGAAGTCAACTGGTGAGAAATCAGTTCATTGAGGACAACTTCACCAGCCAGGGGTTATTGGTCAACAGCCAAGTCCTGGAGTAAGGAGGTGAGGGAGAGAAAGAAAGAAAGCGGTGTGCACAGCCAGTGGCACTCACCCGAGCACCCGCTTGGCAATCTCATCCGCCTTCTCTGAGATGGTATCCAGCTGTGCTCGGCTCACAGCAGGTCGAGTCCACAGGTAGGAGTACACAGGGGAGACCAAATCCTGCAGGCGGCAGATGTGACCCTGGGGGAAGAGGCATTTACCGAAGGCCCTGGACACAAGGCTCTGAACACAGTGACGAGGGAGGAGTGGGGAGTGACCGCCGCCTTCCTCAGCCCCCCCCCTCCCCAACCGCACACCTGTCTCAGCAGGATGATCCTCTCCATGTACGCCTGGTCAAGGACAGTCCTGTCCTGCAGCTGACTCCCAAACACCTCTTCCACGAGGGCCTGCAGCTTCCCCACAAGCTGGTTCCTCTGTGCCTCATTGCTCACCAGCCGCCGAAGGTGCAGCCTTTGGACAAAGCCAGGAGGACCACCCTGAGCTGGTGCCCTTGGCCCACCCAAACCCTGTCCCCAGGTGCATGGTGAGGGCTGAAGAACAGCACAGCACATGAACCGTCCTGTCGAGGCCAGAAGCAGGATTCTCTCCACATTTAGAGAAGGGAATGGGTCTAAGCACAGTCACCACAGGAGAGCCTGGGAAATCCAAGCAATCTACAGGCATGTTTTGTTTTTCCCACTTCAAGACAGTACCTGACATTCTACATGAGAAGTGACACAGAAAAATATTTCTTTTTGCCACAAGACCAGAAGAATCAGTTACTGTTACAGTACATTTTGATCAGAGATTCCACAGAAGAATTATGATCGAAAGGGGGAAAATGGAGAAAGTCTCATGAAATCAAGACTTTCTGGAGCCACTAAGGTTCAACAAACCCCTGAAATGACTGCCCTGAAATAATCATAAAACTTTTTAAACTAAACTATCCCGATTAAAAAAATTACAAATATTGCACCCCTTAAAAAATCATCTCTATGAGATCAAATGATCAACGATGATTTTAAAACAAAGATGAAAATGTAGAGAGGCTGGGAAACTAGATAAATGGAAATGGAACCACCAGAATGGAGATAATAAGAATGCTCACACATTGAAAAATGTAGGCAATGTTACTGAACAATGTGTAGAAACCATTGAATTGGAATCTTAAACTGTTGTGTAAACCTTCACTGGAAACACAGCAAAATAATATTTAATAATAAAAAAAGATCCCCTACAGTCTTCTTGTCTTCTTTAAACTGAAAAATAGTCACCTGGTAAAGTGTATCGAATTTGAACACTATGGGCTTAAAATGACAACAGTATTCATGAGGTCTGTGAGCCTGGGTGAGTTATTTAATCTCATCTTGGTTTTCCTTGATGTAAAAAAGCACCAAGTAACAAGATCAAGTTCATAGGTCTGATAGGAGAAGCAGAGTTAATAACCTCAAAGAATTTGCAGTCAGTGTGAAGTCTTTGGAAATTTACAAATTAAGCACCAGGGACAGCTTGTCCTGAAGGCAGCACCCAAGAGAAACACAGGTGAGTCCTAGCCTGCAAGGTCCCACCACAGTTGCTGGCTTTACTGCAAATGCCCCTTATTGAGACATTTCAACAACTGTCTGTATTATAACTCTAGCTGGAGGGGTTTGAAAACGAAGAATTACTTGAAAAGGTGCTCATTCACCTTCCTGGCTGGGTGAGCGGGGGTGATTCTACGGTGAAGGCTTTGCTTATTAACAGACTCCATGCAAAGGTGGCCAGGAACACGACAAAAATAATAAATACGCTACCTACCCTTTACTGAACACTTTCTATGTGCCAGATGTGTTCTACTAGTACCTTCACATAACATTTCATGTAATGCAATACAATGATTCTAAGACCTGAGTCCTGTAACCAGCCTCATTTCTGAGAAAAGAAATGGTAGCTTGAAGAAGTTAGGTGACTTTCTTATGAGCACAGAGCGATCAAGCAGCAGATCCCGAGGTCAAAATCGGATGTGAATCTGAAGTCTAGACTCTTCCTCATTTTACCAGATCCTGTGTACAGGCTCCTGTCATTGGCAAGAAAAACCTTTTCTACAAGGTGGTAGACTAGCTCACCTGTTGAATTCTGGAAGTTTCTCCAGGTCCAGGAGTGCTGAATGGGAAGTGATTCGGGTCAAGTCGAACTGTGTTATCAGCTCTGGCAAGGTCCTGCCCATCTGGTTTTCTGCAAATGAGGCAGGCAAACCGCTCACCCACTTTCCCCCCTCACTGTCCTCTCTCATCAAGCCCAACCACACTATGGAAGTCTACAGGTGGCAGGGGAGTAAGCTCCGAGCTCCCCAATTCACTGAAATCATAGGGTGTCAACCTCTAGCCTATTTCTATCTCAAAGGCTTAAATAAGCTTTCCTTTTACGAAAACTTTGTTACTAAGGAAAAGTAAGTTTGGAACCATCAAGCTAACCCAAGTCTAATTACCCTCAAAATAGTCATGTGGGAACAGCTCACTTGACTGTGACTGGACTCCCAGGGATATTCATCAGGATATTTTATAAGCTCTCTGGCTGGTTCCAAACTGGAAGTAGGGCTGAGAACCCAAGCTGGAGGCCACTTCTCAGTAGGAGCGCCTTTGTCTCACCTGCTCCCTAGCATCATGGGTCAGCATAGAGAGTGCAATACATTATTAGCTGTGTGACTTTGGCAAGTTACTTGACCTCTCTGAACCTAACAATCTTTTTACAAACAGCGGGGATAACAAATAGCTATCTTTCTGGATGTTTTAAGGATTCATAAGAACAGAGCAAGTAGTAAACAGACCTTTATGGCCAGTTTCAGAAATCCACTCCACCAAGAGGTCATCCATCGTATTTAGGACTTCTCCAAGGTTCAGGTCAAGGCTAAGGACTCAGTGAGGAATAATCTACACTCTTTCCTTATGAGTAACACTCTTGGCATGCATGTGTGTAAACACAAAAGCAATATAACCTTACGTATGAGTGGTGGTGTGGCTATCTTGTGCACTGCTATTGCTCCAGCCCTTAATGCAGTCTGTCTTCCACTAAACACCTACTGAAGGAGAGGATGAGATTTCCCGAAATCATGTAGCTGGTGGGGAGCAAAGCTGGGTGTGAAGTCCAGGGGTGCTGGAACCAAAGCCCACCCCGTTCCCTCCTCCCCACTTCCACCACACTCCCTCAGGTCGGGAGTACCTGAAAATCCTGAGCCGCAGTGGGTGATGATGTCGAGCAGGGCTGCTGGCAGGAAGCCGGCAGTGGCGAAGTGCCCCAGGAAGATGTCCCCCTGGCGCTTGGACAGTTTGCTGCCATCCCTGTTGAGGAGCAGGGGCAGGTGAGCGTAGTGCGGCGGCTGCCAGCCCAGGGCCTGATAGAGGAGCAGGTGCTTGGAGGTAGACACGAGCCACTCGGAGCCCCGCAGTACGTGGCTGACACCCATGTGGTGGTCGTCCACCACGCAGGCCAGGTGGTACGTGGGGAAGCCATCGCTCTTCAGGATGACTGGGTCACCCTCCACGCTGGCCACTTCGTGCCGGCTCCAGCCGTACACCAAGTCCTGAAAGGCAGGTGCCTCCTCCTGCAGGCGGAATCGGATGGCAGGCTTGGGGGTCTCAGCCAGCTTGCAGGCCACCTGCTCCTGGCTGAGGTTCCGACACCGATTGTCATACCTGTTGGAAAGCAGAGCAGCATGTAGCAGAGATGGCATCTACCTTTCTGCTGTCTCTTCACTCATGAATGGGGATAAAACTGCTACGTGGAAAACCTAAATGATACAACATAGTAGATGTTAATGTTTGCCTACATCCCATTCATTCCTCTTTCTTCCCGGCAATGAGGAAATGTTAGAATGCCCAGCATCCTGGGGCTGAACCACCGCTGATACACCCAATTGTGCAATCCCATCCACCTAAACTGCTGGTCAGTCAAATGAGCAGACATTGTGATGAAATTGTGTCAATTAAAAATCTGAGTCATAAATAAGGGAGGTATGGTGGCCCAGCAGCAAAAAGCTGAACTGCAATCCCAGAGGTGCGTGGTTCGAATTCACCAGATGTTGTGCTGGAGAAGGAGGGGCAATCTCTTCCTGTACCAGTCAGATCTGATTTGCTGGCACACACACATAAAATAAGAAATTAAAAGGAAAAAACTTTTTTTAAAAAAACCTGAGTTATAGGTAGAATGGGAGTTTTTCATTAGGTTAATGAGGCAGGATTAGCATAAAGGTGTGAACAAGTCTCTTTTGAAATATAAACCAGGCTGATCAGACATAAAGAATCAAGCAGAGACGGAGGAAGAGAAATGCCACATCATCCAAAACCAACAAGATAGCAAAGAACCTAAGCTGGAAAGAAAAAGACCTTCCTTGAAAGTCAACAAGACAGAAAGCCTTTCACTAGACCATTATAGGACTGGTAATTTACAAAATGCGAAGAAAAGAAATTTCTTTCGTTAAAGCCACCCACCTGGGGAGTTCCAATGACTAAGAGGGCAGGAAAGCCCTTCTGGCACCATGAACCCAAGAAAATTTGCTCAGGGAGAGAGTCTTGGAAAGATTGGATCTTTTCCTCTGAAAACAAGAATGAACTCACCTTTCCCCCATCCTTCTCCCTCTTCCTCTGTGAGGATGGAATATGTGGAGCTGTTCCAGCCACTTTCACCTGAGTGGGGGAAGTGAAGGGGGCCAGAGTAGCCACAACCAATGCCTGATGCCTCCAAGCTGGCGTCTTATCTCTAACTGCTTTATACAATTTTTTTCTTTCCATTTTATTTATGTTGTGGGTGAGAATCAACATAGCAAATACAGACCAATTCAATAGTTTCTACAATTTAAAATTTAGTGAAATGGGTCACACGCCCCCCTTTGTGCAAACATCCTCACCTTTCTCTCTGACCTGTTGCTTCCCTTTACACAGACACACTCTAAGGTTCCTATCTAAATATTCCTGTTGTCAATCTGATCCTATGCAGGCATTTCTTAAAAGGGCATTATGCTCCAGGTAGACCTTTTAAAATTGTTGTTATTGTTGTTGCAGCAACTAAGCATATATCCTAAAGAAATCAGAGCTGTGGCACAAACTGATAAAACACATGCTCACATTTAACACAGGATTACTTTAAACAGTGAAGAGCTAGACACAGACTAGTAGATGGTGCCAGAAGAAATAGGAGGAAAATGTAGAAACTCGAATTCCTAAAAAAGGGCCAGACTTATTGAACCAGCAGAGACCAGAAGAGCCTGGAACACTTGGCTGGGTACCTTTTAAACTTGGAACTGAAGTCACTCCCCAAGTCCATCTATCAGTTAAAAGACAGGGTAGCTCTCCAACAGGGTAAAAAGGGAAGCCACTTGGTAATGACATATCAGATAAGGGACTTATATCCGAATTTTATAAAATATTTGAGCATCCCAACAAGATAAAGGTAAATAACCCCACATATACTGGGCACAGGATATGAACAGACACTTCACCGAAGACGACATTCAGATGGCCAACAAGCACATGAAGAAATGTTCAAAATCCCTAGCTCTAAGAGAGATGCAAATTAAAACAACTATGAGATATCATCTCACCTCAGTCAGAATAGCAAGCAACAAATGCTGGCGAGGTTGTGGAGAAACTGGAACCCTTATTCATTGTTGGTGGGAGTGTAAAATGGTGCAACCACTGTGGAAGGCGGCATGGCAGTTTCTCAAAAAGTTACAAACAGAGATACCATTTGACCCACCAATTCCACTACTGGGAATATACCCCAAAGAGACCATAACTGACATCCAAGCAGATATATGCACACCCATGTTTATTACATCTTTGTTCACAATAGCAAGGAGTTGGAAACAACCTAAGTACCCATCAACAAACAAATGGATAGAGCAACTGTGGTATATTCACACAATGGAATACTATGCTGCATTGAAAAACAAGGAACTCATGTAATATTATTCAAAATGGGTGAGTATGGAGGACATTATGCTGAGTGACGTATCCTAGTCACAAAAGGACAAATACTGCATGGTACCACTGTTGTAAAACAGGACTGACCTTGGGGTTGGGGAGAGACTGAGAAAGGTGGGTTCAATAATATATACTGCACTGAAACAGATGAGGGAGAAAACTGTTTAAAAGGGATATGTGATTAGGTATTTTTGTCATGACAGGAGTCTAGAACGAAGGCTACATGGTGGAGTGGACCTGGGGGAGGGTTTGTAAAACAATGAAAGAATTTTTCTTTTACTTTTCCAAGAGGGTAGTGTTCTGCGGGGGAGGGCTGGGAAGGGAGAAATGTGCAACAATGAATGAATGGAAATCCAAAGTCTCTGTAAATTTTTACTGAAATTAATAATAAATTTAAATTAAAAAAAAAAGACAGGGTGGCTCATAAAATAAACATTATCACGTATGGGGACTGCACTGCTCTGCACAAGCATCGAAATGAGCCTGGAAATGAGAAGGTAAGGGGGTGACAAGGCAGCTTGATTAATGGGCGCAGAATAACTGGAATAGAAAAAGAGAGAATGCAAACACACTGTGGACAGTGTCACAAATGTGACTGAGTAGTATGTATGCATGCTTGTTGTTGTTATGTGCCATTGAGCTGCTTGTGACTCATAGTGACCTATGTAACCTGCTCTATCCTGTGCCAACCTGACTGTCTCTGAAACACCCACCCTCAATACCCCAGTCATTGCATCAATCTATCTCACGGATAAAGTAATATATATAGGAATTGACAAATAACAAACTAATCTGCTATATAAATTTCCTCTAAGATCCTAAAATATTAAGATCTGTCTAAGTTGGTAGACTATAAAAAAGAAGAAGATTAAAAAATGACTCTGGAGTTCTACTCCCGAGAATGCACACAACAGACTGCACACGTGCAAAACTGATGGATCACAACGGCCAACATATTTCTCTTTTTATTAAAAAAGATAAAATATATCTAAGTTTGTCATTGAGGAACTAGATGAATGAATTACAGCACAATGGGACACGATGCAAGCATAAAAAATAAGTATCAGTCATCCCTGCCCATTCTCACCCTTCTGCCCCCAACCCTCACCTCCTTGTACCCCCAATATGTTATTCCCAATTAAAAAAAAAAAAGAAAGAAAAAAAAAGTATCAGTATGGAATGGTCTTTAAGATAGTACTTGGGAATGAGAAATTTCACAGTATTGGGCATAATATTGAAAATGAAATAAAAGGCAACAATATGGATTAGCAGCGTGTGCATGGAATGCTTCTGGAAGAGACACAGAAACTACCATATCTCCGGAGAGGAAAACTGAATGAGAGTCTACGGTTAGGAAGGAGATTTTTCAAGATATATCCTGTTGGAGCTTTTAAATACTGAACACAAGAAAACGTGAAATCTCTGTCTCTGTGTGTGTGTGTATGAGAGTGAGAGAGAGAGAGAAATGTGGACCAGCTACAACTAATCCTCCTATGATCTCCACCTCTGGGAATCCAAGCTCTCAGGGGCTCCTATCCCCTGAAGTATGTGTGTCCTGGCCTGGACCTGACTATTTGCTACTAATCAACAGAACAGAACAAAAGTGGTAAGATGTTACCTCCAAGATTAGGTGACACAGAGAATCTAGCTTCGGCCCTGTGCAAAGTCTCTCCCTGCCTCCTGAGGACAATGAGTCGGAAGACACGTGTGCTGCCTTATTGAGTGGGCCATGTGATGAAGACCTGCTTTCTCCAGCCAACACAAGCTAGGCCCTGGGGCTGACAGCAGGATCCTCTCTGAGATGAGCCCTGAGACAAGCTCCCCTTCACTACATCCGTGAGCCGAGGTACCCAAGTAAACTGTTTTAGGACCCACAGAGATGGTGAGAAAATAACTGTAGGTTTGGGGATACTATTTTATGCATCGACAGCTAACACACCCAGCTTTAGGGAGGCAGCCAAGAAATGCTGGGATCTTACCGAGGTGTCTGGTTGTTCCTCAAGGCCTCCTTCTTCAGGAGCTCCAGCCGTTGAGGGGAGCAAAAACAGGGGTAAGCAGCTCCAGTCTTCAGCAGAGCCTCTGTGGCCTGGGCATACAGCTCCAGTCGCTGAGACTGCTGATAGGGCCCGGCCGGGCCTCCCCGCCGAGGGCTCTCATCCGGAGGAATGCCTGGAACAAGGCCAAGAACAGCCTTCAGACATTAACAGCCGAGACACAGCCCACACTTGCCACTTGTAGCTCAGCACTGCTCAAGGTGTTTTACACACATTAAAGCATTTCATGGTCACAACATTCCCTGAGGTTGGTACTACTGCATTTAGGTTCAATTATTTGTTCGAGACAAATTGGACGAGTTAAAGATTCAAACCTGTGGTGGTCTGACACCACTGTCTATGCACTCCATCCACCATCCCTCCACTCATCTAAACCTGGTGAGGAAGCACTAGTGCTGGCCTGCGGATTGCGGACTCAGGAGAGAACTGTGGTTCTGAGCCCAAGACGCCAGAACACCTTTTAACAAATCAAGTCTATTTAACTGATATGGTGCTTTGGTGGGCTAGAGTTAGGACGTCGCTGCCAACCCAGAGGCAGGAGGTTTGCATCCACGAGTTGCAATAAGATGGGCAATCTCCTCCCACGGGATTTGTTGCTGTTGTTGATTGCCGTCAAGTCGAGACTCATAGCGACCCTATGAACAAAAGACCTGAACCCTTTCCACAACTATCATCATTTCTTCATCATAGTTTCCAGAGGCATGTTGTTTAGGAAGTGGATGTCACTCTTGCTTCCAAGCCTGTCTTAATCTGGGAGCTCCACCAAACACTGTCCACCATGGGTAACTGTTACGGCATATTTAGCTTCTAAAAACCCACTAGAAGGTCTGCTATGTTGGTTCCACTAAATTGCAGGTTAACAGCAACAACATTTAACTGAGCTCATTAACTTATTCTTTGTTCAATGCTCTATCTACAGTATCTGGAAGAGGACTTGAGTCACAGGAAGTGATTTTGTAAATTAGTTCTAATTAGCACTTACAAGAATAATAAGCCCTGCTGGCATAGTGGTTATCTGATGGGTAGTTAGTTCACTGATAGGTTAGCAGTTAGAATCCACCAGACCCCTGGAGAGATTGGACAGGAAGTTCTGTTTAAGACAGTCTTTGAGGTTTTCTTCAGAAGCTCAGCATCTTTGCAAATGGCATTGGGAAAAGTGAGTGCATTATTTGTGGGGGTATATATTATATATACATAATGTGTGTGTTCACTTTTCCAGCAATTTATTTTCCACTCTGAGCTCCAAAAGACTCACTGTCCCCCGCCCTCCTTGCAACAAGCGTTCTTCAGACAGATAGCCTGACCTGCCCACTCCAGCATGTCCTCGATATTCTCTGCTGCCCCAGGCACAAGGCGCGTCCGATCCGTGTCCTCCAGCCTCAAGATAAAGCTCCCTCGGTGTTTCTTGGCAAAGATGTAGTTGTACAAGGCAGTGCGGAGGCCACCCAAGTGCAAGAAGCCTGACAGGGGGAGATGACAAAAACACAAGGAAATGAGCTGGTAAGAAAGCTCTGCTTACAATCCAGAGAATCCCACACCCTTAGAAATGGCATTACTCTCCCATCTCTCTGGCCAGCATCCAGTCTAAATCAGCCAGGAGAACCAAGGGAGGTGACTGGTGAAGTGCATAAGCCTGGACAAAAATGACCCCTTGTTGTTGTTATGTGCCATAGAGTCACCTGTGACTCACAATAACCCTATGTACAACAGCTCTGAAGTCTGCCCTGTCCTGAGCCAGTCTCACTGACTCCAATACACTTATCCCCATTGCCCTAGTTATGACCACGTAGGTTTTGGAATATGTCATTTAGTACAAAGGTTCCAACACTTCTGAACCGGAGCAGTCACCTTCTCTGACATTAAAAGGGGACTGAGAGCTGGGAAGGCCTCAAGGCAAAGCTCCACCAGGGGGAGAGGAAGTGCAGAATTCGCATGGGAATGCATGTGCGATTAACATGTGAACCCATGAAAAATCATTTTCAACTCCATTTTTTGTGTCAATGTTTACAAATCATTGTTTCCATTCATATACATTGTTTTCAACATTAATTCCAATTAATTCCAATGTTACAACTCCATTATTATACACTGCCTTTCCCTTCACTTACATTACTTCTTCATCTTTCCTCCTTTCTCTCTCTTCCTAGCCCTGGCAACCACACAAGAATGTTTTCACCTGCATGTAAACCTTTCCTCAGCCTTATACCATAAGTTCTTTTGTGACTGATTTATGTCACTTGGCATAATTTCTCTAGATTCATCCATGTTGTACAGTGTTTCACAAACTCTTTAACACTCTTCAGTGATACTCCATTGTGTAAATATACTATTGTTTCTTTAGGTCAATTAATGGACACTTGGTTGTTTCCATCTCTCTGAATTTTATAAATAATGTTGCAATGAACAAGGCTATATATACATCTGTTTGTGTCACAGGTCTTATACCTTTGCTGAATCAAATAATTTTTTGTTTTGTTTCGTGCCATATTATGCCATTCACAATACCAAGCACAAGGCCTGAGTCGAGGTGTATATGGGGTATTTCACTCTGCCTCCTCTTTCTATACAGTCCGTGTAAGAATACAGCCTGTGGGAAGCATAAGGAGGTTCAAATACTAATTTTTATTGTAACTTTCTGGGGAAAAAAAAAAAAAAGCAAACTGTTAAGTTGGAACCAACTCCTAGCTGACATGCTCCGAGTTTCCAAGGATGTAAATAGCACGGGAGGAGAATGCCCATCTTGGTTCGAGGCCAAAGGTGGATTCAAACCACCAGAGGCTGGGTCACCGAAGGAAGCTCCAAAGCACTTTCCAGAGTGGCGGCATCATGTTACATTCTGGTGACCTAGTGGTAAGAAGCGGCGCTGCAAAGGCATGTGCCAAAGAAGAACAGGCACTCTCTCATGCCCTACAAGTCTCTGACAACTCGCTGGAGGGTCTGGTTCTGCCGGCACACAACAACCAGAAGCAGCAGGAATGAGGCTTCCAATCTCTTCATGCACTTACCCATCTTGTTGAGCTCTGAAATGGTCGCTAGAGTGATGCGCTATTTCACTGTTGTTTAGATTTGCATTTCTCTAAAAGCTAATAGCACACTCTTTAGTTTTCTTTTTATTCTCTTAGAGAAGTCCTTCAATGCGCAGAAAGATTTCAATTTTAGGAGGTTCTAATGATCTAGTTTATCCTTTGCTGATAGTGCATTTTCAGTTTATTCGACCATAGATTGTTGTTATGTCATCAAGTTGACTACAATTCACAGCAAGCTGTAAACAGGTATGAACCTTGCCCTATGCTGCACCATCTTCATGATCTATGTCATGCTCAAGTCCACTGTGTCATATATTGTTGTTGTGATGTACTGCAGACTTAGAACTGACCCATAGCTGATCCTCCAAAGGGTTTTCAGAGGCAGTTAGTTGCATGGAAGGAGACTGCCCATCCTTCTCCTGCAGAGCAACTGGTGGCCTTGAACCATATGCCTTCAGCACTGCAGCACAGCTTCTTGTCACTAGGCCACCAGGACTCCCTATGTCCTATATTGTTGTTGTTATGTGCCGTGTAGTCGCTTGCAACTCATAGCGACCCTATGCACCACAGCTCTAAACCCTGCTGTACTGCCAATCTCACTGTCTCTGAAACACCTACCCCCATTACCCTAGTCACTGAGTCAATCCATCTTATTGAGGGTTTTCCTCCCCTGTGCTGTTCTTCCATCCTCCCAAGCATGACGTCCCTTTCCAAGATCCCTCCTTATAACATGTCCAAAATATGTCAGGCGAAGCTTCAGAATCCTTGCCTCCAAGAAGCAGAGCAGCCTTGTTTCACCTTCTCTAGGACAAACCTGTTTGTTCTGCTAGCAGTCCATGGTACATTCAATACTCTTCTCCAGCACCACAGCTCAAAGGTATCAATTCTCCTTCTATCATCCCTAGTTATTGTCCAGCTCTCTGATGCATAGTACTTGGAAAGACCATGGCCAGTTTCAGGTGCACTTTAGTCTCCAGACTGAGACCATTGCTCTTCAGTACTTACTAAACTCCAATTTTTTTCTTGGATGATCTTTATAGATTTTGATTTTACATCTAGGTCCTTAATCCTTTAGTTATTCTTTGTATATGGTATAAGGTATGGACCTAGTTTAATTTTCAGCAAATATATATCTAATCTTGCCAGCACTATTTGTTAAAAAGGATATCTTTTCCCTTACTTAATTGAAGTCCTCTGTCAAAGATCAGCTGTCCATAGGTGGCTGTTGTTATGTGCCATCGCGTTACCTGTGACTCACAGAAATCCTATGTACAACAGCCCTGAACCCTGCTCTATCCTGTGCCAATCTTATTGTCTATGACATACCTACTCCCATTACCCCAGTCACTGAATCAACTCATGTCATCAAGGGTCTTCCTCTCTGTTGCTGTCTCCCCACCCTGCCAAGCATGATGTCCCTCTCCAAGGACTTGTCCCTCCTTGCAACATGTCCAAAGTATGTCAGATGAAGCTTCAGAATCCTTGCCTCCAAGGAGCAGCCTGGTCTCACCCTCTCTAGGACAAACCTGTTTGTTCTGCTAGCAGTCCATGGTATATTCAATAATCTTCTCCAAAACCACAGATTTATTTCTGGGTTCTCAACTCTGTTCTACTGGGCCTATGTATCTGTAGCTGTTTTGATTACTGTGGCTGTGTTGTAAGTTTTGAGATTAGGACAGGTGAAGTCTACTTTTGTTTTTCTTCTTTAGTAGCACTTTGTTTATTTTGAGTTTCTTTTCATAGAAAATTATTGGGTTTTGTGTTGGTTTTTTTTTTTTTTCTATCTAATGCTGACAGAATCTGGACCTGGATTTGTCTGTAACTTTTTTTTGCTGTTAGGGACCTCTCCAAAGTACTGAAGAGCAATGGTATCTCTCTGGAGACTAAGGTACATCTAATACAGGCCATGGTCTTCACAATCACTTGTTATGCATCAGAGAGTTGGACAATGACCAAGGAGGAGAGAAGGAGAATTGATGCCTTTGAGCTGTGGTGCTGGAAAAGAGTATTGAGAGTACCATGGACTGCTAGGAAAACAAACAGATTTATCCTGAAAAGGGTTAAACCGGGTGGCTCTTTGGAGGCAAGGATTCTGAGGCTCCGTCTAACATACTTTGGACATGTTGTGAGGAGGGACCGGTCCTTGGAGAAGGACATCATGCTTGGGAGGGTGGAGGGACGGTGCAGGAGGGGAAGGCTCTCTATGAGGTGGATTGATTCGGTGACTGGGGTTATCGGGATGGGAGTGTCAGAGACAGTGCGACTGGCACAGGACAGAGCAGAGTTTAGGGCTATTGTGCATAGGGTCGCTATGAGTCGCAAGTGACTCGATGGCACAAAACAACAACAACAATCTGAAATACTTTTTGGTTACAGTTCCACTTTCACAAGAGTAAGTCTTCCAATCCATGGGCATAAACAGACTTAAAAAAATTCATATATACGTATTTTTTTTCTCACAGTTATGTCAACATTTTCATATATGCCACCCTGGACACTTTGTTGAGCTCCCTGTTCCCTTAATCCCATTCATTTTTGCTTTAGAGAAACTGCTGACCTTTTGATCACAAAAAAAAAATTTTTTTTCAAGATGTGCAGTACTGACTTCTGCTGACACTGGAAGCAAAGTTAAGATGGCATCTTCCTCACTAAACATGTCTGTCAGCAAAGCGACAGAGAAAAATCAGTTTTGTAACCAAAAGTCAAAGCCTGAAAGCCGAGATTAGTTTAAACTTCTCACTGTTCCTGATGGTTGGAAAGAACCAGCATTTTCCAAAGAAGACAATGCCTGCTGGCTTTTGGAAGAGAGCAGTTTTGCAACATTGTTTCCAAAATATAGAGAGGCTTACCTGAAAGAATGCTGGCCTTTGGTAAAGAAAGCCATAAATGAACATCATATTAATACAACCTTGGACCTGATTGAAGGCAGCATGACTGTTTGTACAACCAAGAAGACTTCTGATCCCTATACCATCATTAGGGCCCAAGACCTAATAAAACTTTTAGCAAGGAGTCTTTCATTTGAGCAGGCAATATGAATTCTTCAGGATGATGTTGCATGTGATAACAATAAAATAGTCTCTTTGGTACGAAATTAAGAAAGGTTGTAAAAAGAAGACAACTAGTTACTGGTGCCAAGCCATCTACTCTGAAGGCATTAGAACTGTTAACAAACTTATATTATGGTTCAGGTAAACAAAGTTTCAGCCATTGGCCTCTTCAGTGGCTCAAAAGAGGTTTGGAAAGTATTCCAAGATACTATGAAGAATATTCATCCAATATATAACGTTAAAATCTTGATGATTAAACGAGAGTGGACTAAGATTCTGAATTAAAGTCACAAAATTGGGAAAGATTTCTGCCACAGTTCAAACACAAAAATGTGACTAAACACAAGGAATCAAAGGAAAAAAATCTGTTAAGAAAGCTTACAT